AACAGCTAAAGACTGGAAGAAAGAGGAGAGCCAGCAATAGCTAAGACAAAAGGCAACATCCATGGTGGGGGCATGAGGAAAACCCAGACAGCATGTTAGTATAGAGAAAAATCATGTTCAAGAAGGAGGGAATGAACTTCATTATTACATGCTGGGAGGTCAGGTCAAGGGAGGCCTGAAAATAATCCCTTCGTGACATTAAAGTCACTGGTGACCTTGGCAAGCCTTGTAGAGACCTGATAGGAGTTGGTGCAGGGAGAGGGGGAGGGAAGGAGTCAGAAAAGGAAAGGGAACGGGTGGGAAGTATCTCAAGAACAACGTGAAGTTTAGGGACTTCCTTTGCTTGTTTTGCATGAGCTCCCAGAAAGGTCCAGCAGAAAGGGGACATCAAAAGGGACAGGAAGAGGGGCACCTGGGTGGTTCAGTGGGTTAAAGCCTCTGCCTTCGGCTCAGGTCATGATCCCAGGGTCCTGGGATCGAGCCCCACATCGGGCTCTCTGCTAGGCAGGGAGCCTGCTTCTCTTCCTCTCTCTCTGCCTCTCTCTCTGCCTCTCTGCCTACTTGTGATTTCTCTCAAAAAAAAAAAAAAAAAAAAAAAAAAAAAAAAAGGGACAGGAAGAGCCAACAGAACACCTTGACAAGTGATAGCAGGTGGGCCCTGGGGGTTGGGGTGGGGAGACCATATTTGCCACTGCTTGGGGAAAGAAGGTGCTTGAGACCAGGGGTCTGTTGCTGATGCTGTTGGTAAGGCTAGGAGTGCAGACTGGAGACAGGAAGGGGTGGGCCTTCCTGTCTGATTCCTTCTCTCATCTGAGTCAGGTAGGAGGTGATATCATCTGCTGAAACTGGAGTGGGGCAGGAGGACCAGATGGTTGGGGAAATGAGAAGGAAATGAAATAGAAGTTCAGGAGTCTGGGAGAGCAAGTATGGCCTCAAGAGGCCCTCTAGGCAGGGAAGGGCAGTGGAAGCAAAGCCTTTGATCTGCTGTATGACCTTGATCTAGTGCCCTCTGTGGCTCCTGCTGAGCTCCACTGCCACCAGGCAAAGCCGCAGTGGGAGCTGCTCCCCTATCATTGTCCTGGCTCATTCTTGCCCACACAGCCTTTCCCTTCATGCCCATCATGTAGCTAAGACAGGTCGAAACATAAAAGCTACACAAATACCAAGTATCGGGTCTCAAACCTTTATAAAAATTAGCCCCCAGATCTGGTCCTCTGATTCTTCTCTTCAGTAGCCTCCTTTCCAAGAAGTTGGGAGACCTTCTGGGAATGCTTACACGTGTAACCCAAGCACTCTCCGGGCACTGTGAGATTTTGAGTTCTGGAAAAAAGTCACTTTCTCTCTAATAATTCCAGCATTGGAAGCATGGGGTAGATGGGCGTGAGGTAGAGATGCCTCTCGTGTAATTACAACTGCTCTCTATGCTCCTACCATCTTGTCCTCCATGCCATGCACGTGCTGCTGCCAAGGCCACCAGGCTGCTGACCCCAGCTGTGACCCAACCTGTGTTGACGCAGCATGGAAATATCCCCTGCTTCTAGTGACCAGCTCTTTCAGGAGGGTATCCCCTAGCAGAGCCATGGGCCCAGAGTGACTGGGTCCCTCATTTGTACCACTGCTCTCCTCTTTCTGGGGCCTTGGTTGGGAGTGGGTCAGGCCCAGCTTAGTGCTGTATCTGAAACTATTGCCCCACCAAACTCCAAGCCTGTGGTTCTGTCTGGTCCCTTCTCAGGAACCTCACTCTCTCTCCTCCAACATGGCCGCCGTTAGGGACCTCGGTCTTCATGGTAGGTCTGTCCATGTCTGAGTCTCAGCTGTGGACTGAGTTCAGTGTCTTTCACCAGGGCTTGGGGCTGGGCTTCTGTTTCAGTATCCCTGAGGACTCTGTGAAGGTTAAGATCTCTGCACTCTCTTTTTCTCTACGAAAACTAGGAGAATAGTCTCCTAAGAGCTTACCAGATCCTGGTTAGGGTGGGGGTTGGGGCACAGGGTTGGCTGGGGGACCTCTCAGGCTGGCCCTTCTGAGTATAAACTCTGGCCAAGCAGAGACTCTCACTTCAGCACCATGCTCATCCACATGGGGCCCTTACACAGATTAGAGAAGGGTGCTTTCTCTGAGTGGGTGCAGCCTACACCAGGCCCATGGTTTAGAAGCAGAGGCCGAATTTCAGCCCCCTCCTGCCCGCTTGGCTAGCTGCCGTAGCAGAGGGAACAGCTGACACGAATGTAGGCAGTGGCCATGCCTAACTAAATAACATGGAGATCCAAATATTGGGCCAACAGAGGAAGCATATTCCTGGGTTCTGGTCCCATGCCATCTGAGATTCTGGTTGGGGGGGAAAAGATGCTGCCCAAGTGTCTCTCCTTCTGAGCCACCATTCCTGTATCTCATGTTCAGGAAAGCGGAGTTCCTTTCCCTGACTCTGCAGCTCCCATTTTCTCTAGTGACCCAGTGTAGACTCTTGATATGGTATCTCTCCTCCCTCTCCAGGGGAGAGCTCTAACACTCCCCTCAGGGGCTGATCTCATCCCCCAGGCCTCAACCAAATAATCCACACACCCCTCAGAGACCAGAGCCTTCACACAGAGACACCCACTTAGAAGGACAGAGAAGAGCTGTTTCCTTAGAGGATTTTTGAGAAGTGGGCCAGGGTTTCCTAAGCAGAGGAATTCCCTGAGAGGAGTCCCTTGAGCTGGAACCTACCAGATACATTCAGGGACAGGAAAGCAGTCCAGAGGGCGGGGCAGGAGTGTCAAGGTGGTTGCTGGCTATCAACAGAGATCCGTGGAAAGAAGGGGTAGGGGTTGTCACAAAGGCTTCTTCAAATCTTGTGGAAGGACCTGAAATAACAGGATAAGTAATTCGATTTTGTCACATGGACCATGGAGAGCCATGGAAGGTTTTTGAGAAGGAGAGTGGCAGGGCCAGATCCTGACAACAGAAGGTGTCTCTAGCAGCTCGTGCAGAATGGTGAGCAGGAGATTTGCCACCCTTGGGTGTGGTGTGGTTACATTCAGTGCCAGTGGAAGACTGCGAGTAGCAGGCTTGGAAGATCATTCTGAAGAGCACCTCTACGCTCCCCTTTTCTTCACCAAATTGATTATCATTCAGTCATTTCACAAACTTTTCCAGATACTGTGTGGGTCCAAGTGCAGGACAGAGGAGGGCAGGGAGACCTAGGATGAGCCTTCCGGTCCCTCCAACCCCCCACCCCCCCCCCCCCCCCCCTCCCTTCCTCCCCCCCCCTCTCTTTCCCCTCCCCCCTCTCTTTCCCCTCCCCCACCCCACAACCCCCACTCCCCCCATTCCCCACTCTCAGCCTTCTCCCCACCCCTCAGTCAGAATGTGTTTTGATAAGTGGTGGCTTGGGGACAGCATAAGGGTGACAAACTGTGCCCCTCCCCACCACCAATTAAATTTTTTAAAAAGCTGCTATGGAAGGAGCGAATATTAGTTTCCTGATTTATAAAGCCAAATGGATTAAGCTCATTCATTGCCTGAGGAAACAAAAAGGAAATCTTCAATACCTCTGTGCACATTGAGAACAGGAACAATACTGGTCTTTAGAAAGCAGAAACCTAATTTGGGGGAATCAATTACCCTCTGTGTCCCTGCCTCTGTGGGCTCTCATACTTGCTCTCTCTCAATAGAGATTTCCTGGGAGGTAAAATGTGAAGTTGGTCAACCACAGACACACCCTCGGTTCAGCCTGGCAGACAGGAGGGAAGAACTAGGCAGAGGGTGGGTGGCATCGGGTGGGGGTGCGCCTGGGTGGCAGGCACCTGTGGAAATAGGGGTAGAGGCAGGGGCGGGGAGGGCTGGGGGTGGGGTAGGGTCGGGGGCAGTACCCAGATGGGCCAAGGAAGCGGAGCATGGGAACCAGGGGTTTGAAAAAGCGGGTGGGCTGGGGGAGCAGGGGTGGCGGGGGAGGGGAAAGCATAGCCCATCCAGTGCAGAAACACCAGCCACCACTTCGTGATCCTCACGTTTCTCTTCTGTGTTCTGCATTTAGCCCGTGGGCTTGAATGTGCAACCGGCAGTGCCGGGGCAGTTATGAAAAAAAAAAGGGGGTGGGTGGATGGGGCACCCACCACTGTATCCAAGGAGTCAAATCCACAAAGTCACGCAGAGAAGCGCTCACAATCTCACCGTTGCTGCGCTGGGTCTCAAACCCCGGCCCGCAGTCCCCAGACCCAGAGCCACACCCAGCCCGATGCACTCACAATCACATGCACGGTTCCCCCACTCACACCCGCGCGGCCACAGACTCAAACTCCCACCCGCGATCGCACCCATTCCTCTACCCCCACGCTCTTCGCCTCACGCTGCGGCTCACCACCCCACACTGCCCTCACTCTGGCATGCGGTCACACACACACACACACACACGCGCGCGCGCGCGCGCACGCAGTCGCTCACACGCACACACTCTGGCTGTGCTTTTGTGTTTTGTCAGAATTAATGAGAAAAGTTCCCGTGCCCTGCGGGTAATTAGTGTCCTTGGAGTTAAATAAGCTAATGGCGGGCACCTCTGGCCCAAGCAATTATGTTTGTGTATTGAATAATTGATTCAAAGGGGGGAAGGGCCGCTAATCAGATCTGAGCATAATGAATTGATTTAATTAACAGGGGAACTGAGGGGCCCTGGGAAACGCAGGCTGCACTCGGCAGCGGCTAGCGCGGCCCGCGCGGACGAGAACGGGCGCGCGGCGGCGGCGGCGGCGGCAGCGGCAGCGGCAGCGGCTCCGGCCCGGCCCGGGCAGCGGCTGCTCCAGTGGCTCCCGCGACCCCGCGGCGGACGGACGCGCCCCCGTCCCCGTCCCCGGGACGCGCCGGCCGCACCGCCCCCCCGCCACCCCCCAGAGCTCCTTGCCCGCGGGGCTGAGCGGCCGGCGCCGGTCCGCCCGCCCCAGTCCCCGGCCGCCGGCCGCCGGTCGCCGGGCGCGGAGCCCGCGCGGGGCCGGCGTGAGCAACGCAGTCGGGCGGCGGCGGAGTCCGAGCCGTGCGCCCCTCCGCGTCCTCCGCCCGTGCCGCTGCTGGCGCCGCCGGGGGACCATGGTGTTGGACCAGGAGGACGGTAGGTGCCCGGGGTTGGGGGTGGGGGCGCGGGCGGCGGCGGCGCGGGCCCTGCCGAGGCCACCCCGCTCGCGTCGCGGCGGCAGCGTCCCCCGCGCGGGCCTCGGCTGGCTCGGGCCGCTCGGCTTCTTCCCGGAAGCGCGGCGCTGGGTGTGCGCGTGGGCGTGCGTGCCAGGGTGCTGGGCTCAGCCCGCGGGTTCCTTAGCGGGGTCTGGAAGTCACCCGGGCCGCCGCGGGCCCTCCAGCCCTGCACGCTCCGGCCGGGAACTTTCTCTCAGGCTCTTGCTGTCTCGCAGACACTGGAGCGCCTCGGCGACCCGCGCCGCCGCGGGCTTCCCCGCAGTGCCCACAGCCCCCAAGTCTCCTAGGCTTTCTGGGTGTCTGCGCGCCCCCCTTCCGCACCCGACTGCGGAACGTCTCCCCCAGGGGGATATCCAGAGAGCCTGCAGACAAACCGGCAGGGCTCGGGGGTCCCTCAGATCTAGAACTTCACAGCTGCGGGATGGGTGACATTGCTTCACCCCTGACAGCCCCCCCTTCCTCCACCAAGTGTGTCGGGAGTTGCCCTGCTGGCTAGGGTCGGGTCCTGTATCCAGAATATCGGGGTGGGGGGGGGGCGGATTTACCTTGAAGCTTATGAAGTTTCAGCTTCATAGTCCTTTGGTGGTCATTTTGTGTTAGCAGGCTTGTATTCCTTTTCTTAAAGAGCACCCCCAACCCCTAAATTGCATAAGTAAGCTTGGTTCTCGAAAAATCTGGATCCACGCCTGAGTCCAACTCACAGCTTTCCCACTGTGACTACCAATTTGCAAGAGAAGGCACAGCCAGGCTGCCCCATAGAGCCATTCCCCGGGGCTAGGCAGTTCCTCAGTGCCTGGGGGATGAAGCCCAGAGCAGGAGGCTGGGAAATTTGAGGCTACGACGCAGCTGCTGGTGTGCAGTGAAGGGTCTGGCTGCCTGACCTCTCTCTCTGGCCCCACTAGTCCCTTGTCCCAGCCTACCAACTCCCATTGTGGTCATCAACTGTCCTGCTTTGCCCAGAACCAGCTGGTTTTAGCACAGAGAGGCCTGCCTCCTGGGAACCCCTTCAGTCCTGGGACAAACCAAGACAGTTGGTCAGCCTACATGCACAACGTTCTCAGAGCTGTTGTGCAGGGGTGGCTTGGCCAGAGACTTGCTTCCTGGGGGAGCAGATTTGGCCTAGGCCTCCACCAGGCCTAACAGATATAACTGTAGCTTCCTCGACAAAGGAGGAAAGTTTGTCACCTTCTCCACTTTAGGTGATTGCAAATTCCTGTATTTAGGCTGCTTTTGTGTTAGTAGTGGGCAGAGCAGGGCATCTGAACTTGGCCAGCAAGCATCCTGATTGTACTGCAAAATCTGTAGGGTCACTCTGTCCTGTCATCTGTTGCGGCCACTCCAAATACATCTGTGAGCTTCACCTGTGAAGCCACCCATCTTGGAGACGGCTGCACTGTGTTGGAAGCAGGGCCCTCAGGCTGAGATACATCTGACAGCCTCCACTGAGTTCTGGAATATCTGGTCTGCCCAGGCCCCGGGGCAGAGTTTCCTGCCCCTCCACCCCACCCCACACACACCTCCCAAATCCAGTGCAGGAACCCTTCCTCAGGACTTTCCTGCCAAGTACAGGGACAAACTGCTAGGACCTGTCCCAAACTTTGAAAGGCAGCCAGTAGTACCCCCTTTCTCCTCACCATAACCTGGGGGCTGATCAGCTGCTGGTCTGTCTCTGCTGTCCCTGGAGGCATCTCAAAGACATTCTGGAGCACTCTTGACAACATTGACCTGAGAGTACATGCTCATTGCCTGTGGACTATGTTGGGTGAAAACCACCTCCCCCAGCCCCAGGGTATCTGAGGATTCCACTCTGGTGTTGTGGGTGGGCCCCTGGACTTGGAGACAGCTTGGGTGGGGGTAGGCCCAGGCACAGGACTTACCTTCCTGGCCAGCAATTCCCCATGAGCTGAGAGGGTGGCTGCCAGATGGGTGAGGCTTATGTTTGGCTCTGTCCCTCCAGTGGGCCCCTTCCTGGCTAAGAGTTCCAGTCATCTAAACCCTCCAAGACTTGCTGGGTAGCTCTGTAAAGTGGAAGGCCTCTTCGGAGGCCTTTTTCCAGATCACTGTGGAAGCTCGATGTTCACAACTGGGGGTGCAGAGAGAGCCGCCTGTGGACACAAGCAGCCCTTCACACACAGTGGTGACCCCCTGCTGACATACCCTACCTGCCTCTTCAGCCCATGGCTCAGAACTCCAGGCCTGCTCCCATCCCTGAGGTGGGGTACAGGGCGCCCGACTCCCCAGAGGGATGCTGGTGGGATGGCTGCTAACTGGGTAGCTTGGAGGCTTGAGGAAGCTGGTGTTGGGACAGATCCCCAAGCCCAACATGAGCAAGAGAGTGGGAAAGTGCCTTCAGCTAGTCAAGTCCTGGGCTGTGGGTCAGGGCCAGACCCTTGAAAGGGAGGAGGAGCTGGCCTTGGGACTTGAGAGGAAAGCCGCAGCCTTTATGAAGGGAATGCCTCCCCATTCTGAGGGAATGCCCACAGAGGCATCTACAGCCAGAAGCTACCCCTTGCCAGCCTGTCAGGCCCATTGCCTGTGACACTGTCTGGCCCCCAGCTCAAGCTGGGGTGACGGGTTGGTACGAAATGAGCCCGTGGCCAGCAGAGTCAAAGCCTCCCTCAGACCCTCGGGGTATAGCTCTGGCTGTAGTGGCAGGGGAGAGATCAAGCTTACAGTCCTGAGGGACAGTGAGGCTGAGCAAAATGATATATTTAACATCAAATATACTCAAGGACTATTAGGATTAAGTATTCTAGATGAAGGGGAAAGCGAAACCCTCTGAGCTGTGGATGAGGCATCTCATTAGAAGCAGCCTCTCTTCTGTTTTCTCAAAGACTGACTTCCCCACTTAGGCTGGAGGAAGATGGGCGGCAGCCCCACTTCCCCATTCCCACCCTTGCCAGGCACTCTGCTTTGGGACCTTCCGCTGGCTTCAGGGGCACCGCCTGGCCTCCAGGTTTCATGTATACTCAGTAAGTCCCCGCAATGTCGGGGTGCCACAGTTTACAAGGCATGTTCACAACCATTAGCTCATCTGACTCCCACCACAACCTTGGAGAGCAGCGCAGTTCTCCCACGTCACAAACAGGGAAACTGAGGCCCAGACAAAGTGATTTGCTAAGGTCCACCATTGGTAATAGGCAGAGATGGGATGAAATCTCAACTGGTGGTCCTTACCTTCTCCTTGCCTGAGTCTAGTCCTCAGAAGTGTCTGCCAGGGATGAACCTCTGACATGTCTTTCTGAAGCCCTCCTTGAGCTATAGAAAATCGTTAATATTTCCATCCTCTTGGATCACGGTACTGTGAAGGGGGAAAAAAGAAAAAAAAAAAAGCTCTTGGTATTTAAGATTGGCCTTCCTAGTCTAGGCAGCCTGGCACTAACCTCAAGCTCTTGGAGGAGAAGTAGGGTTCGGGAAGAGAGGAGATGAGCACTGTCTTCCTTCCTGCCTCCTGAGGTACGGAGCAAGGATTTTCAACTCCGAAATAGCAGGAACCTTTTGTTCACTCTGGTATCATAAGTGCCTTAGAATAATACATGCTCAATAAATAGTTTTGGAAGGAGAAAAACCTTCAAGGCCACACTGTGCTTGCTCAGAGAGAAGCTGAGACAGGATTCTGCTCCCTAAGGAATTAGGATGCTCTTGCGGGGGTTGGGGGGCTGCGTGCTGGGGTAAGTGTGATGCTAGTTTGTACCCTGCAGAGGGCTAACTTTGCCAAACAATCCAGGAGGTAACAAGAACCCTCCGGCAGAGCTGGTAGGAAGGGAGGGTACGAGATCAGAGAAAGATCGCCCAGCTGGGAGGGCGGTCAGAAACTAAGGCTGACGGGGTGGGAGTGGAAGACAAGGGTGGTCCACCAGACAAATATCTGGGATGAGGACCCTGGGTGCTGCGCAGAACCAAGCGCCGAGCTAGGGCCGAGCGACCTCCAGGTGGCGCTGCGGAGCCGGGCAGCCGCGCGTCTCCACTCCCCATTAACCCGGGAGGGAGGGGGGCCTCGGGAAATGTGTGCATTTATTCAGTAGCAGAAGTGCAAACCTCATACATTGAGGGAGAAAGGCAGCGGGAGACGGCCGCCGAGATTCCCCCATCTCTTTGAATATAATTTTAGATTGAGATTCAGATTAAATCCGAGGGGAAAACACTTTATGAGGCTGAAAGCTGTGTCGTTGCCAGAGCCAGGGTTATGAGCTATCAAATGCAATTACATTAAGACAGATTATACTGGGCAAATTGAGCCATTTAGAAGGTGAGAATCAAAGAAACGGCTCTGATCCTCTCTTCCCCCTTCTCTCTCCCTCTCTCTCTAAATTGCAGTTCGTAGTTCCTTGCAATTCTGAGGCACAAAAGTAGGTGAGACTGCTTTTGTATCTGCGAAGTGCTTCGCTCCTGAATGTAATTCTAGCTGAGTGCAATCTAGGTTAAGAGCCGGACAAGCGGGTAATTAGAGCCCGCTCGCTGCCCGAGGACCGGCCGCCCCGCCGAAGCGCGCCCGGAGTCGGCGCCCTTCTCCCGGTCGAGCCGAGCTGCGGCTGGACACGGAGCGCCCGAGATGATGGTGCTGGACAAGGAGGACGGTAGGTGGCAGGCGGGGGGGTTGACGCCCCGCACCCCCTCGTCCCCCTGCGGTGGCGCGCGGGAGCACACGCCGGGACGCACACGCGCCAGGGTTGCCAGGCGGGCGGGGCGCCGGGGGCCGGGGTGCGGGGGCGGCCAGGTGGGGCCGGGGGAGGGGTGAGTGAGCCGGAGGGCGGGCGGTGCGCCTGCCGCGTGGGGCTCTGCGGGGCCGCGTGTAGGCTCGGGTCCCCTCGGATCTCGGCGCAGTGGCGCTCCGTGAGTGGCGTCTCGTCTTTGCGGCCGCTCCTCTTACCACAGCCATCTCCCCCGCGCCGGCAGGGTAACCCAAGAGGAAGCCAGAGC